GCCAGGTAGACTACAAAGACTACCCTTTAGATAAAGAAAATGATTCAGATAATAACGATATAAGATCTTAAACTTCGACTAATAAGAGCAGTAAAGATAGGCGCGATAGAGTATTACCTATTCCAAAAGGAATACAATATAAATACCACCAAGGCAGAATAAAACGCATCAGATAAATAATAATAACTCTTAAAGGATAATTTAAATAATTAGACCAAGATATTAAATAGATAAAATAGGTTACTGCAAAGGAATCTAATAAACGACTTAAGAATATACCACTAAAGTATTATATTTATAAGAAATTATTTTAAGAGGAATTAGATACTAAGTTACCTTAATATATAGACTATAATATTAAAATCATATTAAAAGATAGAAAGAACCTAAAATTCTTCCTTATTTATAACCTATCTTAAGATAAGCTTAATATACTCAGAGAATAGTTAAACAATATGCTATAAAAAGGATATATTAGACTATCTAAATCCTTAGCAGGATATCTAGTTATATTTATACTAAAACCTAACTTAAATAAGCTAAGACTTATAGTAGATTACTAATAACTCAATGAGATCATAGAAAAAGATAGGACACCGCTACTACTTATCACTGAACTTAAGGACCGCCTATTCAGTAAGAAATAGTTTATAGCACTTGATCTTAAATCTGCTTATAACCTTATTTGAATTAAAGAAGGCGATAAATAGAAAATAGCCTTTTAAATAAAATATAGACTATTTAAATATTTGGTTATGCCTTTTAGATTAATTAATACACCTATAGTATTCTAATGTATAATTATAAATATACTTTAAGAGCACCTTAATATCTTTATAGTCTGCTACCTAGATAATATCCTTATCTTCTCTAATATAGAAGAAGAGTATATAGAATATATCTATAAGGTTCTTAGAGTACTATAAGATGCTAATATACTTATCAAACCTACTAAAAGTTACTTCTATTAGTCTTAAGTAATATACTTAGGATATAAAATCTTATATAATAAAATCAGAATAGATAGATAAAAGATTACAGTAGTTATTAAATAGAAACCACCTATATTAGTAAAAGAAACCTAATCCTTCCTAGGATTCGCTAACTACTACTAATAATTCATTAAAGGTTTTAGCAAAATTACTATTCCTCTTACCGAGATTACTAAAAAAGATAAACAATTCTAATAAAACAATAAGGCATAATAAGCTTTCAAACAGCTTAAATCAGCTATCATAAGCAAACCCGTTCTAATTATATTTAACCCTAATAAATAAGTTAAACTTAAAACTAATACTTCTGACTTTGCCTTAGGAGGATAAATAGGATAATAAGATAATAATAACATATTATACCCTATTGCTTTCTATTCTTATAAGATACATAGAGTAGAACTTAACTACCCTATTTATAATAAAGAATTCCTAGCTATTATTAACTGCTTTAAGGAGTTTAGATACTACCTTAGAGGAAGTAAGTACCTAGTAAAAGTCTTTACTAATTATAAGAATATAGCTTACTTTACAATAATATAAGAGCTAAACTAATAATAACTATACTATATAAAATACCTATATAAATTTAATTTTACTATAGCACACTATAAAGGCATAAATAATAGATACGTAGACGCCATTAGTCAATAACCTGACTTTAATACAGGGACTGTAAAAACAAAAGAATAACTCCTAGAATTTAACCCTAAAGGAGAATACCAGTTTACTTAACCTATTAAAACAATTATAAGAATAATAAAAGGAATAAAATTCCTATTAAATAAAGAATGCAATTTCCTTTGCGAATTTTATTTATATCTGCTATATAGATACCAAGGTGTTAAGAAAACAGTGAAACAACTATAAGACCAAGGATATAAGTTCATAAAAAGGGACACAGAAGATATCATTAAACAATATAACCTCTGTATAAGAATAAAAGCCCAGAGATATAAACCATATAAACAACTACAACCACTACCGGTAGCATAACAACCTTAGGACTTAATTATAATAGACTTTATTATAAAGTTACCCTTATCAGAAGAACCCTTAACCAGAATCTTCTATAACAGCATTATGGTTATTATAGATCGACTTACGAAATTTTCCTACTATTTACCCTACAGAGAAGTAACAGATACAGAAGAACTTTCTTATATTTTTTACCAATATATTATTAGTATACATAGGTTACCTACGGAAATTCTATCTGACAGAGGACCTATATTTACAGTAACATTTTAGTAATTACTTATAGCATAACTTAGACTAAACTATTAACTTATAACAGCGTTTTAACCGCAAGTCGATAAATAAACTAAACAAATAAATCAAGTACTTAAATAGTATCTACGGTGTTATATTAACTATAAATAAAGCAATTAGGTTAAAAAGCTACTAATAGCCTAACTCGCTTATAACACTGCATATAATAAAAGCATAAAGCTTATACCAGCTTATATTAACTTCAGATTTATACTAAATACATATTATAATATATAACAAGAGAAATCAATTAACCTAGCCGCTATAATTAAAAGTAATAACCTTAAAAACCTATATAAAGAAATAAAAATAGAACTTAAATTTATTAGAAAATACATAAAAAACTACTATAACCTAAAACAGTTAAAGAGACTAACCTTTTCGGAGAGGGATATAATCTACCTAGCTATAAAAAACATTAAAATAGACCAACTAATACACAAATTAGACTATAAATTCATTAGACCTTATAAAGTACTATAGAAAATTTCAAAAAATAACTACAAATTAGACCTACTACTAAAAGTTAGACTCTATCTAGTCTTTCACGTTTTATTACTTAAATCAGCAGCAGATATAATATAAGTCAAAATAAGTAATAAACTATAAGAAATTTTAGGACTAGAAGTCTATAAAGTAGAAGTAATTAGGAAAATAGGCAAAATTAACAGATAAAGGATATACCTAGTTAAATAGAAAAACTACCTAGAAAGCAAAAATACATAGGAACCTCTAAAACACCTCGCTAATACCCAGCAACTCCTAAAGAACTTTTACTAATATTAAATAAAGGAGAAGCATTAAGAAGATTATTACCTAAACCTAAGGCAGACTAATCGATATTATTAGGGACATAGTCCACTTAAAGATCCCAAAGCAACATATCCTCATACGCATCCAAACCAGACAAGATCGCATCTTACTAATCTACCTCTTAAAGACTGCAATAAGTAGCCTTAGAATATTTTTCTTTTATATAATTACGAATTTTATAAATCCTTAATAAATAACCAGCAGCCAAGGCCAGATAAGACTATAATACTATTATTTCCTTATAAAGCTTAAGAAGATTTTTACTTGCCTTATCTTTATTATTCTCTAATTTCTTTTCTTACTTTATTAAAGTCATAACTAGCAAAATCAGCGCAATTAATAAAAATAATATATAATAAACATATAAGATAATACAATATAAGTACTATTATAAGACTTCTTAGCCTAAATATACTTACTACAGCAAGCAGAATTAGCAGATATTAAGCATTTCTTGCCTACCTGAAAATAATAAGTATAAGGCATATTAGCTTCTTCGTTAGCAAACTTAACAGAAAGTGCAAGAGTTTAGATTTTATAATCCTTGCGAGATAACTATTTAGATATATAGTTAGATATTACAGGATATAATAATAAAAGGTTTAAGATTAAACCTTACCGAAAGGAGACTAATACTGGTTAGGATAATAGGCCTTAGGGGCAAGACTACCAGAGAGGAGAGATTATATTATAACCCCAGCGGTTATATCACATATACCCTATAATTTTCCTATATAACTAACTAATCAAGGAAAGACCAATAACTACAGGACCAATAGCGCTCTAGGACCGCGTTATTCTAGGACTAACAATGACCTCGTGCTATATTGCTCCTATATAACCACTATTAAATATATAGAATATATTTATTAGCACTTTTATAGATTCTAGCTTACTAGCTATTAATAAAACTTCTTTATATTGATTAAGCCTAATATGCATTAAATCTACTATTAAGAGATATGATACTCCGATAAGCTTAGCATCACGCCCTATGCAATCTGCCAATAATAAACCTAGTATGGCTTAGTTTAACATAGTTGGACTCCAACCGTTATACTAATAGATTAAGATAATAAGGCATATAATACAGGGATAAAGCATCTTATCTAATACTAATTGCCGAGATTATTATACTAATATTACAGAATGTCTTTTGTCTTTATATCTAAATTAGATAAGTAAGTGTAATAGCTAGGCTTTTTAAACTACAGCTTGAGAAATAAGTAATAGCCAGCCTTTTCGAACTACAGCTTAAGAAATAAGTAATAGCCGGCTTTTTCAAACTGCAGCTTAAAAAGGCCAGCCTTTACTTACTAAATTCCTCCTTATATAGGGAAATCCTTAGCATTCTAAGTAAAGGATAAATTAAACTATAATCTAATTCTTATAGTAGTTAGTTTTTATGACTTTTAGATAGTATTATATTATAATTAAATGCCAGTATAGCAGTAGAGGATGATCTTCTCCTAACCCTAACCTTTACGTGCTTTTATATCTCTTCTCACATTAAGAAATTAAAGTAACTTTACTATATGCATTTATTCTTTATTCTATTAGCTATAATATACTAGCTGGGCTACTATATGCGTTTAAATAAAAGATTATTAGTTACTGCTATAAGCCATAAACCAGGGTATAATAGTATTTTATAAGCAGTATCTTAACAGGGGTAAGTCTTAAACTAAATTAATTACTAAATATAATAAAGAAAATAAAATAAAAGCCATAAATTAGAAGTAAAATAGCTTTAATACTTATTACTTATTTAATTATATCTTATACTATACTTCTATCTACTTTTTATATCCTCCTCTACTATTGTTGATTTTTGGCATATTTTAATTGTTGTTTTCTAGTCGCCGCTTAAATTTGACAAAGACATTTATCATCCTCCCAACCCTGGCCCTACTTGCATTACTGATAAAGCCCTCAGATCCAACTCGAGTTATGTTCATACCACCTTGACATCTAACACAGGAGCTCCTTTAAATAACAAGTTACTCTGGGAATAGGCCAGACCAATGCAACAAAATGACTTATCGCCATCAGCATTTTCAGATTGACCCAACACTAACATGAAGAATTCTCTGTCACTCTCGTCGCCTCGAGCACTGTATCTCGAGCCAATGTATAGGCAATGAATCTTGGCCGTGAACTTGGAGGGCTTTGGATCCTGCTTAGCCCTTAATACATTGCCATTATTCAAGACGAGGATGCTGTCAGGAGAAAACTCCCATTTGTCTGTAGGCCCCGATATTTTATAATAGACACTTGTTTGAGGGTCGTCGCAGGTCAACATCGCCTCAGCGATCTGTCCTCTCATGAGAAGGTGGCCGGCAGTGACCCCGCCGAATGGGTTGAGCCCTGAAACATTAGAGCTGGCTTCAATGATGGTGAAGCTGGGTTCAAAGGTACTGATCGTTCTCTCTACCAGACTCTTCACTGCTCCATGTATCGAGGCCCACGACCATGAGGGTGCCACATACTGCGTGGAAAGGGTCGGTAAGTCTTGATACCCTCTATATGCCCTGGCCCAGCATAGCTCGATACCAAGGTTATCCTCCCACATGCCTGCAAGATAACGGGACTTTGTGATTTTATGGACACGAGACGCGACGCCACTCAGTGCCGGTAATTTGTCAGTGACAAAGGTGAGATGACGACGTGACCAGCATGTCACTAAGTCATCCCACATATCCCAAACATAATTCATTATGTTGGCGTCGGAAGAGGTGGAGCTGGGACTATCAGGGCGCGAGAGTGTCGAAGCATTTGACGAAATTGCAGAGTCGAAACCTGGCGGAGGTATGCCCATGGGATTTTCGCTCCCCAAGATGTCGTCACTACTATCTCCCACTGACCTGTCGATATCGCTATCCATATCCGGATTCAAGCTAAATCTTAGAATAGACAAAACTTTAGAAAAGCCCAGCCTTTCAGATGCTTCAAGATCGGGTATATATCTTTGTGGCACAACATGTTCTAAACACTCCCAAATGAGTTCCGACGGCGTGAAATAAACTGTGCGCGATGACATGGCAGCCTCTTGCCATGTCCACGCTCGCGTAAAAAGTATTCCTTCTTCTTCTGGCTCGCTCGGTATGCGCTGCGCGTAAACGTCTTCGTTACTCGAACCATTTGTCAGGTTGAGTTTAGCCGGCCACCACCTCTTGTCTCGAGGGCCGAGAAATGGGATGGTAGAATTTGGTGATGTGGCTGTTGAGATAGTCAAGAAGGAGTTTTCGTAGTAATCGCACATTTGCAAAGACTCAAGTTCCCAGTCCGACTGGCTGTCTTGAATAATGCAAAGTGAATCAATCCATATATAGTCGATTTTTAGCATCCGAACGATCCAAATCGCTTGCTGGAAGACAATCGGTAGGGAGTTTGCATCGATTGACTTTTTCATGTCTTCGAAGTTGGCAATAATTGTCCTGAGTGGTTGTTTACGACCCCAGCAGTGGCTCAATGTTACGTATCGTGCTGGGACGTTCTTTAACTCGACAAGCCGGATATCTGCGTCAGAAGAGCCAACACTAACGACGCGTGTTGGAAGCGGTGACTCGAGCTGTTTTTTGCATGGCTCGTGTTTGGTGCTGCATTCTGACATCTGGGCATTGACGAAATTTACGGATGCATCAAGCTCGGTTGATTCGGGATATGCGCTGAGCATTCCAAGGTCAGGAATGAGTCGAGACTAATATTTGGGTAATTATGAGCCTAGATACTCGTACAGATGGAGTAAGTTGTCTACCTTATCATGAGAATAGATGATAAACCCGGCCTTGCTCGCATAGCTATCCTCGGAGCCTGGGTTCTTCTCAGAGAAGTACTCAACGCTAATAGGCCCACCCTCTTTGCTATGAACAAAAATCTGAGTTGTCGGTCCATCAGCAAGGCTATTCATGGCCGATTTGAGAATACGACAGTATCCACAATCATCTCTGAGACTTTGAGTCCCGATAATATTCAGTTCATCATCTTCGTCGCCGGGCAGTAGGTCTCTGCATATAGGACAGCTTTGCGTAGCGTTGACTAAGGCGTCGAGCTCAGCTGCAGGTTGGTGAGCGGAATTCTCCATAGCGGTGTGCAAGTTGAATGAAGAAAACCACCAGGTACATGAGCATGTACAGGGTAGAATTACCTATAAATTCAGGTAGCTAAATCGAATCCATTCACAAGAAAAACACCAGGTGGGGGATGTGTATATATACCCATGTCGTAGAGTCTTAGCTCCTGAAGTGCCATGGCTGAGCAAAACATGCAAGTGTAAGCACTTAGAGTCGTCTATTTTAGCTGATTGGTTTGAGATGCAATTGCAACGAACCAGAGCCATTTTGCGAAAGCTAGTCCCCTGTTTTTAGGGCTGTCTGTAAGCGGGATTCTTACTTGCTTGCTGTTAGTGAACTTGGGGATTTCCCGTCTCTTATTTATCTCTTTATTATTTATCATGTACCGTGATCTATTTCACAGAGATATCGGGCAAGGTTTCTTAATCAATATTCTATCCTCGGGAATACTTCTTTTGTGACCTTGTTATCTCCCGTCACGTAATGCATGACTAAGCTTTTTCTCCACATGGCTCTCTCTTTGTAAGCCTTCTAGGCTAAGGGGACTGCGAAGGGGTTTGCCACGCTACACCGCCCTTCTGGCTCATAAATCTTGGCTTCAATATTGTCAACATGAAACTTGGAAGGTAAAGAAACCTCCTCGTTGAAGACTGGCCACTTGTATCTTACAGAATCACTAAATAATGCCCGGACAGGAGAAACTAGGCAAATCAGCTCCTCGCAGCCGAACGGGTTGTCTGGAATGCCGTAGGCGTCGCATTCGATGTGATGAGCAACAACCAAAATGGTAGGTCTCCGATGACCTAAAGGATACCACGGAAGAGAGAGACTAATATGAAATAATATCAAAGTGGTAATTGCCTTCGATCTAGGAAACACCGCGTATGCGAGTACCCTATGCCCACGTTGACACTGCGCGACCGAAGAGCTCAGGCGAAAGCGCGTAGACCGTGGGACCAGTTGACGTTTGCTGCTGCTAAAACCGTGACTATGTCCCCGGAAACCTTGCCTTGTGAGGTTATTATAAGCGATACCTTTAGCACAACATCAGATCCTTTTGATAGTCTTTCTATCAACTTATCTTATCAGTCGAAAGAGCTCTTATACCACTGTAAGTGGCCCAGTTTAATACTATGTATATGAACCGACCGGAAAGCTTACTTTTTAACGGTTAGTTTATCAATCTGTTGAGAGATTTGACAAAGTCTCGCAACAAAAACTCGCCTATCGGTATGACCTGACAAGCGGTTTTCGCTCTCTTTAGTTCTATACTCTAACCTCGAAGAGAAGCCTATCACCTGTCACTAGCAACTCCTATGCGCTTCGGTCCGTAATGCTTTTTGCCGCATTACACTATGATTGGTCTACAGAAGAAGGCATACAAGCGTTCGAAACAACCTTTCTACACCATAAGATTAAAGCTATACAAGCTATCAATGGCTGGATCGCCGGGGGACATCCTCAACTTATAACTTCCATTATTCGACAAATTGCCACATTGTGCTTCATTGAAGTAAGTTAAATACGGCCTATACAAAAGCTCCATGGACTTGTGCATTTGGGAAATTTCTGTCCTACTCACAGCTCATCCTCTTATCTCAGCTTTGCTTGGGAAGTTTAGCTAGTGCCAAAGCCCACATCGATGGAATGGTAGTCCTCTTAGATCAGCAAAGACTGCGAATACACGAACAACCAGACCCATACAGATTTCAGGATGCCGAAGAATACCAACAAGACGAAGAGCTCACAGATCGATACTTTCTGCTGTACGTCTTCTACCCTGATAATGCGCCAAATGGTCAATGGACATTTGACAACCAAATGTGTTCTCCCATATGCGATGCGTGCTGATTATGGAGCAGAATACTTAGCTTTTATACCCGCTATACACTGCACAAAGAGCCATACTCCGGCCAGAAGTTAGGAAAAGATGAGACCCCGGCACCTGCAAGTGAAACTACTCTATCGCACCCCTTGAATCAAATAGAGAGAAACTGTGACCCTTCACTCAAGCTACTTTCTCTTCGCACGATGCTCTTATTTTCAAAGCCCGTGCCACCACGAGCAACTTTGAGCTGGATAAACGGAAGGGACACGATTGAAAGATTAAAAGCTATCACCGAGAGTCTGGACATGATGTACGCAAAGCCGCATATCGACCATGACGAAGTCCAGTTCGCTATGGCATGCACGAACTGTGTCGCGTCTCAGATTCATCTCGACCAGTTAGCTTCTCACATCGCCTCATTCTGTTACACCAAGGATGAATTGATAAGGAAGGAAACTGAAGTTTTGGAGAAGCTACAGGAACAAGAACTTCGTACTACATGGTGTGGCCTATATATTGCTTCTAGCATCTATATCCACCGTGTTCTTGGGCTTGGTGAACCAGAAGAAACGATGGCCCACGATTATATTATTCATGTTTTCCAGAAGGCTCTTATGAAACAGTCTGGGCGTATGGGAGATGGTAGATCCATGAGTGACCAGCTTCTACTCTGGGAGATGATGTTGGGCGCCATCAATGTCACAGTAGACAGTCAAGGTTCTGATCAACAAGCCACGAAATATTTCTCCCAGGCAATCTGGCAATGGAACCGGACTGCTCAGATAAGAAATTGGTCAGATGCCAAAGCCATTCTAGCAAGAATAGCATGGCCAGAAGTTAATGCGATGGAGGATACTGCGAGGCAGATATGGGAGCGATCATGTGGTGAAACATGGTATTGACTTCCTCTCCTACAACTTGTTATAAAGAGGTTTGCAATGAAAAGGTAGAAGAAGAATAAGTATTTTAGAGTTAGAGACTATAGACAACAGAGGCGAGAGTAACTTGGAGTCAGCTTTTAGATGATTATGATTTTTTCCAGTTCCATTAAGCTTTAATATCTCACAAATTACTGGAATGCATTGATATTGTTGTGTGCTAGTTTGATTCAAAATTAATCCAAATAATCACTGCTGTCATTTGACCTCGTATCTGCACCTCGTGCATGAAATAATTACTACGCTGAAGAATCACATACGGCGCCATTATGCGTCCTCATATGCACTGATACAACTCTTCTTCCTCAGGTTGCTACTATGAGATTGATGCGTCTTTCTCGCCAGGCATGACATGCATGAGGCGGCAGAACCAATAAAATCAGCTAGCTTTATTCTTAGCATAATTCCTTTTGGGCTCTTTACCCGAACTGAGGGGGCTCAAATGTACCCTGTCTTTTCAGCTCAGAATGCAACATTCAATGTTCTAGCTTTCGTTACCCATGCTAGGGTGATACGAAAGAGGATTAGCATTAAGTTGATTAGCCTATAGTGGGTAATTTCGGAGTTTATCTGCCGAGCTCTTGGCATGTGATATAGACAAAGCGAGAAGGGTGTCAGGAGACCACGGTTGTTAGTAGACGAGGATTGAGAGATAGTAACCCTGCGAAATAGACTTAAATGCTGACTAAAGAGAAAGAAAGATGTAGCATAATTGACTATAGTACTGGATAAATGAACAATTTACTTCAAGGCTCTATTCTATCTGAGAAGATAGAAGAGAAACCAAAGATAGGAAGCCTCCAGCTTGAAACATGTTCCATACAATAAGCCACATGAAAGAAAGAGCTAGGACTTGGTGGCTAAGTACCAACATGCAAGTCGGAGAATGTAGCCGGGCTCTTCGGCCTGGCGTAAACGCTAGTTTATCGATCAATCCTCTCTCCTCTAACGCAAGGGGACACAGCAAGATCCAAAGCGAAAGAATTGATTGCCGACGTCCAAATATATTTCACTAAGAGCATTGGGAGTCAGATGTCACAGAGATATCGAGTAAGGCTTCGTCAGTTACTCAACAATGGGAGTCAGCACCTGACGAGCAACCGAGATTCTGGTTCGTCTGCGAGCCGCCCTTGAGAGGGAAATCAATGTGGCCAAACTTCCAATCACTGCACCATTCACCCTCGCCACAGCCAGAGGTACACCTGCGCTGCGCCGTGTCAGCCCAGCCCATAAGGTTCTGCTGCCAAACTGACGCCTTGTCTCCAGGGTTGATGTTGCAGGTAAACTCGAAGCCGGTGGTCTTGCTGGTACTCCAAGAAAAACCCAGGCTCAGGCCCCCGTTGCCATTGATCGTCTTAGCGATGCCGTCCACGCTACCGATACCCGCGTCAAAGCTGCCGGATACGGTCTTCGTAATTGTCTGGCTTGTTTGGAAATTGTAGGACGCGGTAGATGAGCTTTTGGTGTTGTAGTTGCAGCCACTGACCTTTTCCCAGGAACTCCACCACGTGCCTGTACGGTCCACGTTGTTGGTAGTCCATCGACGGGGGATGCAGTCACGTTTGTCCAGCTTGTCGAAGGGCTCTTTAACGTAGAAGCGAGACCCGATGATGAGATTAGTGGTGTTGCTTGTGTCATCGAGCCAGGCTTTCACCTCAACCATGTTGGGGTCAATGTCCTCCGGCTTGCTGCCAACAGGCGAGGCAGAGGCAGCGAGGAGTGAGGTGAGGGTTATGAACGTGGATAAAAGCATTTTGATGTTGAGAGGAATAGTGGTAATGGATGAGTGAGAAGTAGGAGGCTGAGTGAGGGGTTGTGATCTATTCATGCTCGTCAGGTCGTCTGTTCTTATACTTTTTCCATCATCAGCAGTAACCTCGGAAGCTGCATAATCCAGATAACAACGATACTGGCTCAGGGGCTGTATTGCCGATAATACTTCCTATCTCTTGACAAATGGTATACTGTCAGGTGAGACTACAAGCAACGTTGCAGACCATCAGCTATCAGAGACACTGTCTCTAAGAGTCTCCACTCAATGGAACGAGGCTGTGGGTCTCATCTATGCTATGATTACTCCGTACTGATAGGTGTATTAAGATTACGACTTGCGTAGCTGCCTGGCGGATTGACAGGATACAGGTTTGACAGCAAAAACAACTCCACCATCTCGTTCCATTCAGTCAAGTCTATATCGTATGAGTGTTGTTATCTGGCGTAGCAGTACTTTTGTTTAGTCCCAAAGGTTGTTGCGCCAATTAGCAACACTTAAGAGCATATACCATTTTCCTTTTTTTCCCAATTAGTTCGGTTATAGGAGCTAAATAGGTTTAGTAGTAAATTTACTAAGGTAAGGCTGAACTTTTGAGGTTACCTTAAAAGGATGCCAAAGTCAATTTTAGTTATTTAACCAAACTTGAATATTCTGTTTACGGTGACTAATCCTTGTCGTGTCCCCTTATTGTTCTAGGTCTACTCTGAGCGCTATGCATTCTGATTGGGTTATTTCATAATGCAGCTTACTGACCTGAACGCCGCTTACTGACCTATCTGCAGCTTACTGATCCAAATGCTTTCTAAATATTATCTAATGAATCTCTGTGTAGATACAACCTGGATATTCTCTATTTGTAATTGCGTAATTGCAGGAGACATAAGTACAAGTATAATTACGGCCCTCTAGTTAATAAAGATATCCGAGGGTGAGTAATCAACCCGATCTGATAGCACCCAAGTATATTTTTAACATTCATTTACGATGATACTTCCCTTTCTGGGCCTTATTCTTCTCGTGTCTTCGCCATATGGCGCTGGTGCGATCCCTTCGCCCAGTCCTAACAACTTCAATTTAAGGCCGCTTACAATTAACCTCTCCCATGCAGTTCCTCACATGATGGACTTGGTTGAAAGAACAAGGTTGCCAATAAACGCAGAGTATCTTAATCTAAAAGCTGGTAGTGCCCTAGAAACTTTAGTATCTCTGAAGAATGAGTTGGTTGATAATTTTGACTAGGAGAATAAGCAGAAAGAACTAAATAAGTATGCTTCTATTTCTAATATTGGCTTATAGCTTATTATTTTAAGGCCTTCCTGCATAGGTCTTACTATTATACTGCTAAAATTAAAAATTTAATTATCTACTTTATCTATAAAAAGTCTTATTACTCTGGTATTATCTCCCTAATATTTAACTATAGATAGCCTGTGTTGCTTCTTAAATTTACTAAGGAGGTAAATAAGGGCAGTAGTAGTAATAAAAGCTAAAGTAAAATTAATTATAACTTTTTTACTTTTTATACTCATTAGACCAGAGAACTATATAATAGAATTATGTTTATTAAAAAAAATGGTGGAGGCCTTGAAGATCTAAGCCGCATTTGCCTATTGGATTTTAGGCTTCCTTCCGTAAACTGAACGGCTAACAAAGTATTAGTACACTGAGAAGAAAAGGGGTGGTAAAAAATACATTGACCAGTAGGCATGTATTTTCGGGTTGTTTAAATCCTTCCTGACATCAACCAGGAAAACATTGACCTCCTCAGGGGTCCAGCCAAGGCATCTTGTAAACAAAGCCATTGAAAGTCCGTTAAGAAGGTTAACTGTGTTTTGGTTGCTCCACTCTCCAAGGATCTTAAATCTTTTCTCCTTGGGCCAGTGGTTTGACGGCCATTTGAATGGTGTCTCCTTGACATCAACAAATCCGATTTCGGTCATAATGTGTTTCAGTCGATTAGTCTCGATGAAAGGAGTTCCGTGCTCCTGTCCGGCTTTGGCCAGAAAAAAGCCCCATTTCCAAAGGGCATGATCTTGGGTGAGGGTATTGTCGTCTGATTGCATCATTATATCGACGTCCTGGAGCTCAGCGTAGCCGCCCGGAGCAAGGTTTCTATGCATATCAGGGCTTTCCGACCTATTAACTAAACCATGAAATAACTTACTCGAAAATCTTGCGTAAGTACTCTGGCCAGTTCTTGACTGAGACGTTCATCATTCTGCTGTGAATATAATCAAATGGCAGAGAATAAGTCCATTCGTCGTCAATATCGTCAATCTCGAACTGTAAATTCGGTGGCACACTGCTCGAGTTTGAGTAGTCATCCAAGTTCTATGAGGGGACTTATCTCATACAACTCCGGTTGGGTAGGAGACAGATCGACCCCTATCACCTAGTCCATTGTTAATTTTAGTCGCTTTTTGCTCTAAGGTGCTTTCTCTCACCTCAGCCTCGGGATGTTCGTCAGCAAAGTCGATGGCCCAAATGCCTGTACCGGTACCCAGGTCCAGAACTCGGCCAGTCTTGAAGTCGGGAAGGTTCGGCGGGGAGAGACCAAGCTTGTTATCAAAAGTCAGGAGGAACAGATTGTGCTGCAAGTCTAAAAAGCTCAAGTGTCAGCATCTTTGACAGTGGAGGAGCGTTCTATATTACCTAGTCTGTCGTTTTCTGTTTCGTCATTGGGCATATAGTACTCTACAGCAGGTGAGAAAAGGTGTGAGTCCTAGAAATCTTATAAAGGATAAATGCATGCAACGTACTTCCGTCCTTGTACCCGTGGTATGTTCGCCCGTTTTCGAATCGATAATTGAGGATAGAGCTGGTCACACTAGCAGTTGATGACGTATTGTCCTATGTCGTCGTTTTTATCAGCAATTATATTCTTTTACTACACATCAGGAGTAAGCCGGGAAGACATCAATACATACATCTCCGACCGCTGAATCTCGATCGTCGTCAACCTTGATTTTGGGGTTAGCTCATGTTCATATCATGCAAAGTCGCGGAGAATAGTTCGTACATCAATGTGTATGACAGGGTCTGCACCGATTGTAGCCATTTTACCAAGCATTAAACTGCTTCAGGTACGCGCGCTGAGGTCTTTCGTCGCTAGAGGGTGTTGAGGTTGGAGGAGAGATTTGCCCTAGATTTTGTCCCCTAAGGACGGGCGGTCAGATATAACCCCGCAGGT